AAATTTCTAAACTCACTTATTTACTTCACACAAATAATTTTAAAATTGCAATTCAGTTTATATAATTCTTAGAAATATGAGATAAGGTCCGCTTGCTTGATTAAGTTTTGTTTATTTACCTTTCAAATAAACATATAAACATCCTCATACAATTTCTACGCTCTTATATTTCGTATAAATACGAATAAAAAACGAGGTTACTGTATTTATAATAATATATTTTTGAAAACATTTAATATTCCTCGAATATTTTTACATTACGGTACGGGAAGTTCCAGCAATTTGCCTTAAGGCACGATGCCATACACTACTAGTTTATTAACAAAATGCCACTCATACCTAATTTATAATTCATAACCAAGAATTTAGTTTGCTCGTCAGTAGAGTCCTTTTCTAATTTTCTAATTTGCTGTCAGTAGAGTCCCTTTTTTCTTTTTTAAATTACTATTTAGTTTTAGATTTTTTGAACAAAAAGGACTCTACTGACGAGCAAAATACAAAAATAGAGATAAAAAAGGGACTCTACTGTCAGGTAAAATACAATTGAGAGCAAAAAACAGAACTCTACTGACGAGCAATTCAAATTCAACAAAAGTAATAATAAAACTAGTGTGCATGGCATCGTGCCTAAAAGCCAATTTCTTGAACTTCCCGTAGTGAAAAATTTACAAAAAATCTTTTAAAATTTTTTGAAATCTTAGAAAAAAAATGATTCTTTCAATTTTTCTGAAATTTTCTTGGATTTTTTTAAGTAGAGAAGAAATATCAAAGCGCGTAAGCGCCGCATCGCAAAATTTTCACTTCGATTTTTTTGCAATTATTATAACTTACTTTATGTAAAGTTGAATTAGAACGACAAAAAGAACTCTACTGACGAGCAAAACTCAATAAAGTGCAAAAAAGGAACTCTACTGACGACCAAATACAATAGGACAAAAAAAGTATGAAAACAAATAGGTTTTTTTTAGCTTTTTTCAGTTTGCTCGTCAGTAGAGTTTCTTTTGTTAATTACTATACTTTGAAAATAGAGTTCCTTTTGATAGTAGAGTCCTTTTTGTTCATCATTATTTACAAATTTAATTATCTTCTGTATATTTATGTTTGCTCATCAGTAGAGTTCGTTTTCTAGCAATATTAAAATTCTATCGTGGTAATTTTCAAAAAAGTTAACATTCAATTCGTATTTTGATTAAATCGATTATTCACACATAAGGCAAAATGCCACTTACACCTAATTCCTTTAAACCAATAAAATGTTTAATAATTTTTCACATATAAAATGCTACTATACTAGTTTCTAAACAAAGATTTACACACGCACACTATACAAAATATCTGAGAAAATTTGAATTTTCTATGAAAACAAGTATAGTATAAACTCTATACTAATTTCCATAACAAGATTTCACCGCACTTACTATGCGAGACATTTGAAGAAATACAATATTTGTATGGAATTCAGTATACTACACACTTTTTAAAGAAAAGTACCAAGAAGAAAAATACAAATAAATTTCGATTTTAATTGATTATAAGTGAAGTTTATGCAACTTCTCTTAAGGCAAAATGCCACTCACACCTAAATTTCTAATTCATAACCAAGAATGTAATAACAAATTGAATTATTGAAAGCGATAAATAATAAAATTTGTGCCACGTTGTTAATTTTTGTTATCGACAAATTATTAGTCTGACACGACTTTAAATTTATTATCGATAACGTCAAATAGTTATACATACTAATATATATATATATATATATATATATATATATATATAAAGTGTGTGTATGAGTGCACATATGTTTTTTCGTTTGCACATTTAACTAAACATAAAGCATGCAAACGTGTGCAGATTCATGATAAGGAAATTAGTTGACAGGTGCGGACAACCGGTATATATACAAATATATATATATATTTATATATATATACTATACATATATATGCTATATGTATAGGATTGGAAGGGTAGGTCTGGATTTGTATATATACAATGATATATTATATATATTATAAAGTATATAATATATATATATATATATATATAAATATCTATATATAAAATTCTTCTGTAATGATTTATAAAAGGATAATGCTCCTTAAACGATTATTCGGATTTCGATAAATCTTTCTAAAGTTTGTTAAGGAAATTTTCTAGGATTTTTCGATTTATAGAAATATAGTAAAAGTGTAGAAATAAATGAAAAAAATTACAAACAACCGCTTATCATGGCACGATGCCATGCATCACTAGTTTTGTTAAATTTGAAATCAATACTTTTGTTAAATTTGACTTGCTCGGGAGTAGAGTTCTATTTTTTGCTCTCTATTGTATTTTACCTTGTTTATCTCTATTTTTGTATTTTGCTCGTCAGTAGAGCCCTTTTTGTTCTAAAAATCTAAAACTAAATAGTAATCTGGAAAAGAAAAAAGGGATTTTACTGACGAGCAATTTAGAAAATTAAAAAGAGGACTCTACTGACGAGCAATTTAAATTTAAAAAAAAAATCTAGAAAATTAAGGACTTTACTGACAAGCAATTTAAAATTAAATAGAAATCTAAAAGGTTAAAAAAACTTTACTGACGAAAAATTAAATTTGAATGAAAACCTAAAAAATTAAGATAGGACTCTACTGACAAGCAAATTAAAATTCAATGGAAGTCTATAATGTTAAAAAAGAACTCTACTGACGAACAAATTAAATTTGAATGAAAATGTAGGAAATTAAGAGAGGACTCTACTGACGAGCAATTTAAATTTAAAAAAAATCTAGAACAAAAAAGGGACTCTACTGACAAGCAATTTAAAATTAAATAGAAATCTAAAAGGTTAAAAAAACTTTACTGACGAAAAATTAAATTTGAATGAAAACCTAAAAAACTAAGATAGGACTCTACTGACAAGCAAATTAAAATTCAATAGAAGTCTAAAATGTTAAAAAAGAACTCTACTGAGGAACAAATTAAATTTGTTCTCTACTGACAAGCAATTTAAAATTAAATAGAAATCTGAAAGGTTAAAAAAGAACTCTACTGACGAACAAATTAAATTTGAATAAAAACCTAGAAACTGAAGATAGGACTCTACTGTCAAGCAATTTAAATGAAAAAGCTTACAAAAGAAGTCTACTGACAAACAAATTTTTGATTAAAAACCTAGAAAATTAAGATAGGACTCTACTGACGAGCAATTTAGAATTAAAAAGAAGTCTAAAAGGTTAATAAAAAAGAACTCTATTGACGACCAAATTAAATTTGAATAAAAACCTAAAAAAATAAGATAGGACTCTACTGACGAGCAATTAAAAATTAAATAGAAATCTAAAAGGTTAAAAAAGAAGAACTCTACTGACAAACAAATTCAATTTTTCTGTAAGAGTTAGTATCATTTCATGAAACTTGAATTAACTTTCTCTAATTTCTATGATTAATTATATTTAAATAAATAAATTCCAATTTCTGCAATTACTACAATTTTTGCAATTTTAAAGCATATCGACTTGCTGTGAAGTTCTATATTAAATTATAATATAGATAATTCAATTTTATACAAATTTGTCGAATATTTCAATACAATCGGACAAACCGTTCAAAAGTTACAAGAGATTTGTTAAACGGTAGACCAATGGGTTGCGGGACAATGGGCTAAAACTTTGTGACGTCATATATGGCATGTGGGGTATCAAATGAAAGGTCTCGACGAGCACTATATAGAAATCATGCTTATAGACTCAACAAATCAATAGGAGATCGTTAAAACCATTTATTCAAATTGTAATAAAACTTTTCTATTTAAAGCATGCCAAGTTGGTATATATAGTCCTAAAATCTTACAAAAAGTATAGATCATATAGTTTACAACAAATTTTCCGAATGTCATATTTATCTTGAACAAACGGTTCAAAAGTTACAAGAGATGTAACGAAAGTAGACCAATGGGTTGCGCTAAACTATAAACAGTGCAGTGGGTAAAGATGTTTTCATAACAAATATGGCATGTGGGGTATCAAATGAAAGGTCTCGACGAGCACTATACAAATATCTAAATATCAAGCTTGATAGTCTAACAGGGTTCCGTACAAGATCAAATTTAACGCTAAAAAGCGGTATAACAAGACCTAAAATATCCTAATATATATATATATATATATATATATATATAAATATTTTCCCAAAGGTTCCTAAACCCTGTCATTGCCTTCAATACCATCAATCCAACAATCACTTAATAACTTCAGTTGCCCACCCCGGTCACCGGTAGCGCTACTATACACTGACTCTCACGAACGAAACGAAATGAATTTGTTATAAACTAATTTTATAAACAAATAACAAACTATAAACAATAGACGACGACGACATCCGAGGTGGAATTCAATTATTGAGAAATTAACAGACGTCAGTCGATTAGTAGAGATCGAGTGGGAAGGGTCCTTGTGTGATGAAAAAATAGTGTAGAAAATAATGAAAAAATAATTTAAAAAAATAAAAATTAGTTAATAATATTTAGTAAAGTAATTAAAAAAAATATTTATTAAATATGAAGAGATATTTCAAAATAATATGTTAACTAAAAATAGTTTAAACACAAATTTAATGCAAATAATTTAAAATAGTTAATATGAATAAATTGTTTTGTGGTTCAAAAATTAGTTTATATAACTACATGAATTAAAGTTATTAAAAAACAATACTTAATAATTTACAAAAATAGTTTAATATAATCATAAAATGTTATATCTGAAATTGTAGTTTCTAATAAAGTGTACTAAAATTAAAATTAAAGTTAAATTATTTTTTTTAACTATTTTTGTTACTTTTAGTGAACCAAGTGCCTATAGACATTTATGTCTAATAAATTTATGTCTAAACAATTTCTGTTTAAATATTTAAATAATTATTATTTGTTTTATGTAAATAAAATGAGTGCAAAATATCAGCATTAACTATAAATAGTAAATTTTAAATTTATTTTTAATAAATATGAACAATTGTTTATGATAAAAAGTGAATAATAAATAAATTGTCAAAATGAATGAAAAGGAGCAACTGCCGAATTCTTATCCGTTGAAAAGGTAAGTTTTTATATATTCTGCTCGTATTGACAAAACAATTGCTTTTGAGGATAAAAAATTATTACATCTTTTTTATTAAAAAATTCAAAAAATGACCCAGGCTAAGCACAGTCTAAGCGCCACTCTGGTACAAATGTTTACCCAAGTGCGTTTAGACTGTTTATGTACTGAATCACTTTTCCAATTCCAATTTTGTGAAAACTATTGAAAAATGTGAAAATGCTGCCAAGCTAAGCACAGCATAAGTGAAAATGTCGCACGGAATTATTTGAAAATGCGTTTAGACTGTGACTATACGGGAGCACTTTTTCAATTTTGTGTAAATTAAGAGGCAACTTTTTTTTTCTTGAAATTGAAGTTAAAAAGAAATGACGATTGTTAATGCGTGCTGATTAGTTTTTGGCGGAGACAGGTCTAGCCGTTTTGGAGATACGGGGCAAAGAGTGCAAAATATGGCAGTTTTTGAAAGAACTAAACAACGATTGTTTTTGGGAAAGACAAAAACAATTTTTTTTCAAGAAATAATTTTTTTGAATAAAATAATTTATTCAAAATTATATAATATTTGTTGTTAAAAGTGAAATGAAAGTTACAGTATTTATAATAATCTATTTGAAAACATTTAACATTACTCGCATATTTTATTACGGTATAGGAAGTTCTAGCAATTGAGAATCGTAATTGATAAAATTCTTATGTACGGATGTATGAATTGATACTCCTCCTAAACGGTTATTCGGATTTTGATAAATCTTTTTAGAGTTTGTCAAGGCAAATATTTAAGATGTGAGGAATTATTAAACTATAGTAATATTGTAGAAATAAATGAAAAAAAATCACAAAAAACCATTTATTATTGTTTGACATTGAAAACATTTGAACTGTCATCTGCTAGAAATGTCAATTCACTTAAGTTTGAAAATAGGTGACATTATGAGCCTAGATAATATTAGAATATAATATACAAGAAGAATGTAATGCCTACTTTTTTATTGCCGAAAAGCAGCTGAGATGTGCCAGAAATTAAAATAATATAAGGTGCAGTCAACAGTGTATGTGTTTGGCAGATGAAATTATATAATTCAGTTTAATAAATAACGCAATAAGTCCAAAATGTGAAAAAATATTTCTATTTATTAAAAAAATGATTTAGAATTTTGTTTCATGTGTCAAAAATTCATTTGTTTGGCATCGGATATGGAATATTTAGTTAGATGATCTTAGATTGAATAGTGCACATATTAATTAGATTTTACAAATTAATTCACTTAAGATTTTACTAAAGTAATAATGTTTTGTTAAATTATTAGTAAGAAAAATGAACTTTAAAAATTATAATTGTCAAAAAGCAACTAATGAAAATTCCTTATCAATACGAATCGAATGTTTTTTAAATTATTCAAATCGGTTGATCCGTGTTCCCGAAATCAAAATAAATAACAAAACATTTTTTTGCATTTATCTCGAGTATTGCTAGTAGTATAATAAATTTCCTCGCAAAAATCCCCGCGATTAATTGTACTTATTGTTTATAATCAGATAATACCTACTACTATTTTTTTTGCAACAATGTAATGTACAAAGTTTGTTTTCACATTAAATTGCATTTTAATATAGAATTAAAAAAATAATCTCGTTATGTTTATTAAAAAAAATCTCGAAATCTTTTAAACAATGTCTAGGTAAGATAAGAATATAGCAGTTATTGCCAAAACACGGGTTAATAAATAAAAAATAATAATTATTATAATTATAAAGGCAATTCTGCCTTATAAAATAGCGTTGTCATGGTAACGCTATCTTATGCTTATTCCTTGGTAGAGAGAAATGTTAAAATGTTTATCTATTTGCCGTGCGATCAGGCGTATTTTACATAAAAACAAGTAAGGGGGCATGTTCGAGAATTCTGTTATCATAACATTCTCCTTGCTCTGCTTTTATGTAAAATACTCCTGATCGCACAGCAAACAGATAGACTTTTTCACAGTTTTCACTAACAAGAAACCAGCCTCATATATTAATACCAACAAGAATTGCGTCATATATTTCTATTATTAGTTAATTAGTCGTGGCGAATTAAGTCATATTTGTTTTCTTTTATTTCATTTTTACAAAGTCAAGAACGAATTCTACTGACGAGCAAATTAAGTAGATAGGTATTACTGAGTTACTGACAAATTTAATAAATTATTATTATTAGTAAAAGGTGATTTTAAAAAAGGACCTTAATCTCCAGAAATTTTAGAAGAAAAACATTTAAGTATCTGTTCGAAAAAGAAACTCTATTGACGACCAAATTCAGAAAAATAATGTATTCGTTTAGAATTAGATTGATGAGTAAATTTGAACAAGTACAAAACGTTATTAGGGGGACATTTACTTTGTAAAAAAGGTCTCCACTGGCAAGAAATTTTGGAAGTTATTAGTAAAATATTATTCAAATAATAAAAACTTTACCGATTATCAAGTTTAAATGTGAAAATTAAATTTGGTCGTCAGTACAGTCCCTTTTCTCTATTCAATTTTTTTTGTCAGTCAGTAGAGTTCTTTGTTTTTTATTTGCTTTTAATGTACTCGTTGGTAAAGTTCTGTTTTCTCTTGATATTTGCTTGCCAGTAGAGTCCTTTTCTATCGTCATTTTTATTTGTTCGTCAGTAGAGTCTGTTTTTGCACAGCATCTTATTTGCTTTTCAGTACAGTCCCTTTTCTAAACTGATAATTTTATTTCCTTGTTAATAGAGTTTCTTTTGTTATTCATCTGTTTTTAGTATGCTCGTTAGTAGAGTCCCTTTTTGAAATTTTATTTAGTCGTTAGTAGAGTTACTTATCCTTTGAATATTTTTTGCAAACAGATAGACATTTTTACAGTTTTCACTAACAAGAAACCAGCCCAATAAATTAATACTAATAAGAATTGCCCCATATATTTCTATTATTAGTTAATTAGTCGTGACGAATTAAGTCAATTTTGTTTTCTTTCATTTCATTTTTACAAAGTCGAGATTGAATTCTACTGACGAACAAATTAATTTGTTAGTTATTACTTAATTTAGTCCCTTCCGTTCGTCAGTAGAGTTTCTTTTTTTCCTTCCTTTAAAATCCTTTTTACAGCCCTTTGTTTTTGCTCTTCAGTAAAGTTCTATTTTTCGATGCAAATAGATTGCTTGTCAGTAGAGTCCTTTTTATACATCTAGATGATAATCTGTGTAATCAGTAAATTAGTTAGACGTAAAAGTAAAACTAGCTGTAAGTGGAATTCTGTCTTGAGGCAATTATGGCATTGTGCCTTAAGGCAAATTGCTGGAACTTCCCGTACCGTAACGAAATATTCGTGGAATACTGAATGTTTTCAAATAGATTATTATAAATATTGTAACATTGTGTAATACTTATAAGAATTATATAAGCTAAATTGCAGAGTTGAAATTATTTGTAAACTATATTAGTACTATAGTCAGAATTAAAAATAAAAACTGAAATATTTTCGACACACAAAAAACTAAAAAAAAAAAAAAAAAAAAAAATTGAACAAATTTTTTTTCCAAAATCAATTATTTTGTTAAGACAAGCTGAAAGTTCTTTGAATCATTTAAATCGGACGCTTATTTCTCTCAAAAACTGCCATTTTTTACATTTTTAGCTCTGTATGTTCGAAATGGCTGGGCCTGCCATTGCCAAAAACTAATAAACACTTCTCCCAATCATTACTAATTGAATGTTTTTTAGATCATTCAAATCGGATACTCCGTTCTCTCAAAAATTCGATTTCTATTTTCTGCATTCTTTGCTCCGTATCTCCGAAACGGCTAGACCTGCCTTTGCCAAAAACTAATCAGCTCTTTTCCCTATCAATAGGAATCGAATGTTTTTTGAACCATTCAAATCGGTTGATCCGTGCGCCCTAAAACGTGACTGGAAATTTGTATCCACACATACATACACACACACACATATCCATTTTTTCTGATGTATGCCAAAACGTTCAGAAACCTTCAAAACGTCGAGAAATGTAAAAATTTTCAATTCCGATTTTCGGCCCATTACAATAACTTACCCTACGGGAAGTTAAAAAGGACTCTACTGACGAGCAAATCAAAATGGCAATGAGAAAAAAGACTATATTGACGGACAAAGTAAAACGTCAAGGAAAGGACTCTACTGACAAGCAAATAAATATCCTGACAGAAAAAGGGACTCTACATTAATAAAAAGAACAGCCAATAATAAAAGGAACTTTACTAACGAGCAAACTAAAAACAGTGAAAATACAAAAAATTCTATTGAGGGATAGTATTCTAATGTCAGTAAGGGAAAAGGGACTCTACTGACGATTGAGAAAAATGGACTCTACTGACAAGCAAATTAAAATTTCGATAAGAAAGAAAGTTAATGGCGGGCCCAAAAGGGACTCTACTGACGAGCAAATAAAAATGCTAAGATAAAAGGACTCTACTGACGAGCAAATAAAAATATCAAGAGAAAAAGAGACTCTACTAATGAGCAAATAAAAAAAGAGACTACTGAAAAGCAAATAAAAATTTCGGTGAATCATTGACAAACAATAAAAAAGGACTCTACTGACAAGAAAATTACAATATTATGAGAAAAAACTCTACTAACAAATATTTAAACTAGTGGGGTTTATGGCATCGTGCCTTAAGGCAAATTGCTGGAACTTCCCATACCGTAACGATATGTTCGTGGAATATTAAATGTTTTCATATAGATTATTATAAATATTGTAACATTGTCTATTTATATTTATAAGAATTATTTATAAACTGAATTGCAAAGTTGAAATTATTTGTTTAAAGTATATTAGAACTATAGTCAGAATTAAAAATAAAATCTGAATTATTTTCGATATACAAACAAATATTTTTTTTAAAAAAAAAGTTGAAACAAAAATTTTTATTTCCAAAATCAATTATTTTGTTAAAACAAGCTGAAAATTTTTTGAATCATTTAAATTGGACGCTTAGTTCTCTCAAAAACTGTCA